GGGCCTTGGTTTTTTGCCAGTACATTTAGAGAAGCTTGAATTTCTTCCTTCATCACCACAGGCTCTTGTTCATATGTTGTTTTATTAAATTTTTCTGTGTCAGCCAATTCCTTTTGATACAGTGACTCTGTATACTCCTTCCATCTTCTTATTTAATGCTTCCTGAATCATTTAAAAGTTTACCTACAACATCCTTAAGAATTGCAACTCAAGGCTTGAATTTGTTCTTCAGTTCCTTTAGCTTAAGAAATGCTGAGAAAGTTTGACCTTTTTGATTTTCTGACTCCAGCTCTTTGCAAATTTCATTGTAATACTTGCTTTGTCTTACCCAGCTGTCCTTTGAAATCTTCTCTTTGGCTCCTTAACTTCTTGATTTCTTCCCTTTGCTTTGGCTTCTCGGCATTCTAGTCTCTTCTGACATCCATCCTGGTCTTTTCTTCTACTTCTGTCTTTGTAATGACCTTTTGCATTCTTCATGGATGATATTCTTGATATCTTCCCACAGCTCATCTGGTCTTTGCTCATTAGTGTTCAAGGCCTCAAACCTGTTCCTGAGAGAGTTTTGAAATTCAGATGAGACAGACTCAGGGTCAAATTTTTATTCCTGTGGATTTGATTTAACCTTCTTTAGCTTCAGCTTGAACTTGCGTAAGAGTGGTAGTTGATGGTCTGTTCCACAGTCAGCACCTGGCCTAGTTTTCACAGCTGATATTGAGCTTCTCCAGCTGTTCTTTCCACAGATGTAATAGACCTGATTTTTATGCATACCATCAATGGAAAACTATATGTATAGTCTGTGTTTATATTTCTAATAAAAAGTATTTCCAATGAATAAATCGTTGATTGTACAGAATTCTATCATTCTATCTCCAGCCTTATTTCTGTCACCAAGTCCATTTTTCCAACTATTGATCCTTCTATCCCTGTTCTCAACTTTTTCATTACAGTCATCTATTATTATTAATGCATGTTGATTGCATGGTCGATCAATTTCTGACTTCAAAAGTTGGTAGAAATCACTTAGATTGTTAACCTCGTAGTACTCAGCCAATGAGGAACTGGGGAGGGACTTGAAAGCTAGGGAATAAGAATTTGTGGTATGCTATGAAAGGCTGTGCTGGCCTGCTCCTTTGTCAAGGCTTAGGGCCTGAATTTTGTAAAATCAATTACTAAAGCCTTGGGGGAAAATATTGTAGAAATTTTCTATTTCCTCCTCTTTGACTGTAGTTGTTAGTGCATATATTTAAATGGTAGTGGTATTCACTGGACTTTCTTGAATGTATATGGATTATATCCTGTCACAACATTGTATTTTAAGATGGATCTAAAATTATTTTTTAACTGCAAAAGCAAGCCTATTTTTCCTCACCTTTTCATCTCCAGCATTGCAGGTCCTTCAATATTGGCCTGTTTATTCTTTGGGCAGTCCATAGAAAATGTAGTATAATTCAAAGGCATCTATTATTCTGTAATCTTAATTCACTGTCCAACTTTCACAAGCATGAATTGAAAAGACAGTGACTTGGATAAAGGGCACCTTTGTCTTTAAACTGATATCCTTGCTCTTTGGAACTTTGGAGAAATCTCTGAAAACAGGTTTTCTCACTAATCTTTTGATTTCTTGGATTCTGTTACTGTATTGATTGTTGATTCTGGTAAGATGAAATCTTTGACAATCTTTTCTCCATTTCTCATGATGTTGCCTGTTGGGCCACAAGTGAGAATTTTTGGTTTTTTCATGTTGCAATGTAGTCCGCATTGAAGACTTTAGTCTTTGATATTCTGCAGTGAGTGTTTCAAGTCTTCTTCATTTTCAGCAAACAAGATGTATCATCTCTGTAATGAAAAATGTTGATAAATCTACCTCCAAACTTGATGCAATATTCTCGTGATAAAGTCCAATTCCTTGAAAAATTTCCTCAGCATAAAAATTAAATAGGTACAGAAAAAGGATACAACCTTGACACACATATTTCTTGATTTTAAATCACACAGAGCTTCTTTGTTCTGTTTAGACAACAGCTTTTTGGTCTAGGTATAGGTTTTACAAGAAAAAATTAAGTGTTCTGAGATTCCTGTTCTCCTCAATGTTAGCCATGTTGTTGTTGTTGTTGCTATGTGCCATCGAGTTGTTTGCGACTCATAGCGACCCTATGTACAAGAGCCCTAAATGCCGTTCTATCCTGTGCCAAACTCGCTGTCTCAAACACATTCATTCCCACCACTCCACTCACAGAATCAATCCATCTCATCAAGGGTCTTCCTCTCCTTCGCTGCCCCTCTGTTCTCCCAAACATGATGTCCCTCTCCAAGGACCAGACTCTCCTTGCAACATGTCCAAAGTATGTCAGACGAACCTTCATAATCCTTGACTCCAGGGAACATTCTGGCTTCACCATCTCCAGGACAAACCTGTTTGTTCTCCTAGCAGTCCATGGTATATTCAACACTCTTCTCCAGCAGCACAGATCAAAGGCATCAATTCTCTTTCTATCATCCATATTCACTGTCCAATTCTCTGATGCATAGTACGTAATTGCAAAGACTGTAGCCGGGATCAGGTGCACCTTAGTCTCCAGCCTGACATCGTTGGACTTCAGTATTCTTGAGAGGTCCCTCACAGCTGACTTTCCCAGTGCAATTTGTCTCTTGATTTCCTGGCTTCTGTTACCAAGAGTGTTGACTGTGGAGCCAAGCAAACTAAAACTGTTAACTATCTCAATCTCTTCACCATCCATACTGATGCTGCCAATTGGCCCAGTGGTGAGAATCTTTGTTTTCTTGACATTGAGCTTCAATCCATATTGAGGACTGCAGTCATTGACCTTCTGCAGCAAGCTCTTCAGGTCCTCTTCAGTTTCAGCGAACAGGGTTGTGTCATCTACATAACGCAGGTCGTTGATGATTTTTCTGCCAATCCTGATGCCACATTCCTCCTCGTGCAGCCTAGAGTCTTGGATGATCTGTTCTGCATACAGATTGAAAAGGTATGGAGACAAAATACATCCCTAACGGACCCCTTTCTTGATTTTGAACCATCCAGTGTCTCCCTGCTCTGTTCTGACGACTGCCCAATAAAATGTTCTGGGATTCCCATTCTCCTCAAAATCAGCCATAGGTTGTTGTGATCCACACATCCAAAAGCCTTTGCATAGTCAATGAAGCACAGGTGTATTCTCTGCTTTCTGCCAAGATCCATCTTACATTAGCTATAATATCCCTAGTACCATGACCTCTTCTAAATCCAGCCTGCATATCTGGCAATTCTCTGTTGACATATTGTTCCAAACGTTTTTGGATAATTTTCAGTAGAATCTTGCTTGCATGTGATATCAATGATATTGCGCGATAATTTCCACACTCTTTTGGGTCACCTTTCTTTGGAATGGGAACAAATATCGATCTCTTCCAGTCAGTTGGTCAGCTGGCTGTCCTCCAGATTTCCTGGCACAACTTAGTGAGCACATCCAGGGCAGCGTCTGCTTGTTGAAATGAATCAATTGGTATGCTGTCAACTCCTGGAGCCTTGTTTTTTGCCAATTCCTTCATAGCAGCTTGAACTTCCTCCTTCATCACCATAGACTCTTGCTCATATGTTATTTCATGAAATTCCTCTGTATCAGAAGGAATTGGCTGACACAGAGGAATTTCATGAAATAACATATGAGCAAGGGCCTATGGTGTTAGCCATATTCTATTATAATCCACACAGTCAAATGTTTTTGCATAGTCAATAAAACACAGATAATCATCTTTTGGTATTCTTTGCTTCAAGCCAAGGTCCATCTGACACCAGCAATGATATCTCTATAGTCACAGCCTCTTCTGAACCTAGCTTTAATATCTGGTAATTTCCTCTTGATGTACTGTCCCATCTATTTTTAACAATCTTTAGTGATATTTTACTTCTGTGTGGCAGTAATGATACTGCTCAATAATGTCCACTCTGTTGGATCACATTTTGGAGGGATAAGAAAAAAAAAATAGGTATCTGTTCCAGTCAATTGGCCAAGTAGCTATCTTCCACATTTCTTGGCATGAGCTAGTGAGCACATCCAGAGCTGAATTTGTTGAAACATGTCAATTGATATCCCATCAATTCCTGAGGACTTGGTTTTTTGCCAGTGCCTCAATGCAGCCTGAATTGCTTCGTTCATTGCCCTTGGTTCTTGATTGTGTGCTACTTTCTGAAATTGATCACTGTTGACCAATTCTCTTTGGTAGAGTGACTCTGTGTATTCCTTCTATTCTCTTTATTTTAGGCAGAAATAATTTAATATCTACCATTAAGTATACTACTACTGGTAAGATAGTCACCATTAACTTATTACTAGCTGCGATTTTTCTGTAGATGACCTTTGTTAAGGTAAAGAAGCTCCTTTACATTCTTAATTTGGTGACTTTTTTTTTTAATGGAGAAAGAATGCTCTTTAAAGGCAACAATGCTGAAGCTTCATTTCATAGACTTCAGACATGTTGTTTAGGAAGGGCCATTCTTTAGAAAAGAACATCATACTTGGAAATGTGGAGGCCCAGCAAAAGAAAGGACAACCTTCAATGAAATAGATTGATACAGTGACTGTGAGAATGAGCTCCAGTATGTTAGAGATTACAAAGATGGCAAAGGATAGAGTAGCGTTCAGGTCCATTATTTATTAGGTTGGTATGAGCATCCTCGACTCAAGAGCACCTAATACCAGCAATAATAAACACATACACACACAACAAGAAACACACACACACACTTTCCTCTAAATGTGTCACTATAACTCTTTGCCATCAAGTTGAAACCAACTAATAGCTGACCCACCAGTTGGTTTTCAAGAGCAATAAACGGCATGAGAGAAGTCAGCCCATCATTCTCTCATGGCACACTTGGTGAATTTGAACCACCTGCCTTTAAGTTGGTGGTGCAACTCCCTACCACCAGACTTTTCATCCTGATTTTTTACTTTACCCATTTTTGCTCTAGATTAACTCTTATTTCTTTCTCTCTTTAGAATAGCATCTTGTATGGAATAGGACTTTATATAAAAGATGTTGGTAATAGGGTTGAGGTCCAGTTGAGTTTAAAGGTTGATTCTATGATAAGTTTAAATATTTTAATATTTAAATATGCAGCTTTCATGATGTCATTTGAGCTTTTATGATGACATTTGTATTTTGCAGGTAAAAGAAATTGTCTAACAATTACAGTATCTGCCACGAAGACCAAGTGGTGCTGCTTTTTGGTAATTTTTATAGTGGTCCAAGTTTGTTTAATTGTATCACTCTCTTTAAGTAAGTGACGTATTCCTTAAATTTTATGTTATTATTCTTTACATATTTATATTGTCAATACATGAGCTCCATATGTACTATATAAAATCTTGACATTTCTCAATGAACAAATCACAAAAATTGTCCACATAAAGAATGCATTCTAGAAGAAATACTCAAGAAGTAATAAACACAATAAATAAGCATGTGAGTGGAAAAGGTTAGAGATAACATGAGTGTTCAACATAACAAATCCCTTGAGAGATTTTTACTAATTCTTGAAGGAGATGAAGAAGTTAGCTATGTGGTGTCCAGGGAAACATTCAGGATAAGAGAGACCCAGTGGAGAAATAGCCTTAGGGAGTAATCTACCTAGCCTATGTAAGGAACAAGTAGAAAGATAGCATTGCTCAAGTGCAATGAGGAAAAAGAAGATAAAGAAATGGAAGGGTGAAAGGAGAGTCTAAGTGATGTGGTTGTGTACCATTCAGTCATCGTGGTATACCACTGAGTCAGAACTGAATCATCACTGACCCTCCAGTGGATTTTCAGGGGCAGTAAATTGCACTGGGGGTAGGGGTGGGAGGATTGTCCACCTTCCTCTTGTGGCACAGATGGTGGATTTGAACCATGTGCCTTTGTATTGACAGTGCAACTCCTTACCATTAATCCACCAAAGCTCCCTGGATGCTATTAGGAAAGAATATTAAGGTAATTGACACTGTGGATAATTACTTCCTTTAGGAACATTTGAGTTCAATCATTTGAGAACCATGTTATTGTTGTTATGTGCCATCGAGTCGCTTGTGACTCATAGCGATCCTATGTACAACAGCCCTAAACTCTGCCCTGTCGTGTGCCAATCTCATTGTCTCTAACACACTCATCCTGATTATCCCAGTCACCAAATCAATCCATCTCCTAGAGGGCCTTCCCCTCCTTCGCTTACCCTCCACCCTCCCAAGCATGATGTTCCACTCCAAGGACTCGTCTCTCCTTACAACATGTCCAAAGTATGTCAGACTAAACTTCAGAATCCTTGCCTCCAAGGAGCAGCCTGGTTTAACCCTCTACAGGATGAATCTGTTTGTTTTCTTAGCAGTCCATGATACCCTCAATACTCTTATCCAACACTAAAGCTCAAAGGCATCAAGTCTCCTTCTATCCTCCCTAGTCATTGTCCGCCTCTCTGACGCATAACAAGTGATTGCAAAAACCATGGCCTGTATCAGATGCACCTTAGTCTCCAGAGAGACACTATTACTCTTCAGTACTTTAGAAAGGTCCCTAACAACAGACTTTCCCATTGCAATATGTCTTTTAATTTCCTGGCTGCTGGTGCCAAGAGTGTTGATTGTGGAGCCAAGCAGACTAAAGCTGTGAACAATCTCAATCTCTTCACCATCCATCCTTATGCTGCCTATTGTTCCAATGGTGAGAATTTTTGTCTTCTTGACATTGAACCTCAATCCATATTGAAGGCTACAGTCCTTGACCCTCTGCAGCAAGCGCTTCAGGTCCTCCTCAGTTTCAGCAAGCAGGGTTTTGTCATCTGCATAACGCAGATTGTTGGTAGATCTACCACCAATCCTGATGCCGCATTTCTCCTCATAGAGCCCAGCCTCCCAGATAATCTGTTCTACATACAGGTTGAAAAGGTATGGAGACAGGACTCATCCCACAACTTCTTCTAAACCGAGCCTGGATTTCTGGCAGCTCTCTGTTGATGTGCTGTTCCAGTCGTTTTTGGATAATCTTCAGCAGAATCTTGCTTGCATGTGAAATCAATGATATTGTTCTATAGTTTCCACACTCTGTTGGGTCACTGTTCTTTGGAGTGAGAACAAATATAGATCTCTTCCACTCAGTTGGCCAAGTGGTTGTTCTTCAGATTTCTTGACACAACTTAGTGAGCACGTCCAGGGCAGCATCTTTTAGCTGAAATATGAGAACCATAGTCCACTCAAAAGAGTAAGATGGGTTCAATAATGTATACTGCACTGAAACAGAGGAGGGAGGAAACTGTTTAAAAGAGAGATATAACTGGGTATTTCTGTCATCACAGGAGACTAGAGCGAGGGCTACATGGTGGAGGGGACCTGGGGGAGGTTTTGTAAAACAATGAAAGAATCTTTTCTTTCACTTTTCCATAATTTTTGGACTCATGTACTTATAACTTGTTAGTCAAATTTGTGTCTTCTAGGTTGCAACACCCCCATGATACATCTTCAAGGATATGAACATGTACAGCCAAGCACAATCAATAAGAGTGCATCTAAATTCCAAAATCAATCTCCATAATAGTCTATGTGTTTCCTACTGCCAAAGGGGCCCTTTAGAGTAGTGAGAGAAGATCTTCACCCTGAAACCCACAGCATCCCTTTTCAGCAGGAAGTAGCTAAGAGAATACGCCATCCCCTTTTCCTTATGACTCAGGGTGAAGTCTCTCTCAGGGAGGAGTGATAGGGAATGGCAAAGGACACACTGACAAAGAAGATTAATCAGAACTGGCTTTGACAAGCACTGTGGCATTTGGACAAGAACAAACTGGGAGGAGGGTAGAGAGAATAGTGCAACAATCAATGAGTGGAAACCCAAAATCTCTGTAAATGTTTATGAAAATTAATAAAATATAATTATAGAAAAAAAATGTAAGGTGTACTTGGGGCTTCTTTGGAGGATACTCAACTGAAGGTTGTTATGCTTGGGTAAGATCCTTCATGGTGACTTAGGGGAACAGCAATCAATTTTACTTATTTAAAAAGTGAACAAAGGATAGGAAGTGGGCAAATACATAAATGAAATGAAAAAATCTCTTTCTCATAATCCATTGTGTTTGTCTCTTAGATAGAAAAGAGGAACTTGTCTTAGAGGCCCCTACATGTCCTGTCTGCCCAGAACACTGGATTGGATTTAGAAATAAGTGCTATTATTTTTCCGAGGCTACGAGGAATTGGACATCCAGTCAGATATTCTGTTCCTCAGTGGAAGCTAGACTTGCTCAATTTGAAACAGTGGAGGAACTGGTAAGAATTACTTTTAGATATGATTTGTATGGACTACTTAGTCATATCTGGGTTGGACTAATGAAGGTTAAAACTCAGTGACATAATATGGAAGGAGTCATATGAAGATTTAGAGCAAAAGTGCACCTTTGAACTGACATTTGTTAAGGATATATTCATGCCTGTCAGACATTTTAGATACAGTTATTTAATTCTTGCAGCCAATCTGTGCATCAGATGTGTGCTTTTCACCTACCACTAATAAATATAATAAAGCGTTTGATTTATTATCCATTTTTGCAAGTGAAAGTGGGCAAAAAGAAATGTTATGCTCGATTAATAGGCATAAACTGGGGCTTCTCCAGGCAAATTAGCATGTGCAGTTATTAAAAGAAAACAACGCTAACTCTACCCCATTGCTGTTAACTTGGAACAGATTGATAGCAGATCCTTCAGTAGTTTTTCATAGGCTATAAATCACACAGGACATTTTCCTATGGAGTCACTGGTAGATTGGAACACCATCTCTGCGTTAGCAGTACAACTCCCTACCCCTACTGATTCTAGAGTCTATGCTTTACAATTACAACATGTCGTCATCCAAAAGTGGGGGGACCCCTTAGGGAAGAAAAACACAAGAGTGGTGTGACAGTAAAAGACAAAAGTTTTCACTCTCTGTTTTCTTTTAGAATTTCTTGAAAAGATACAAAGGTCCTTCTGACCATTGGATTGGTCTTAGCAGAGAATCATCATATGGTATCTGGAAATGGACAGATGGCAATGAACACAATAGCTCGTATGTTTTGAGACTTCTTTCTGTTACGTTAAAGTGTGGTTGTATGAGTTGTTTTTATGAAATAAGAAATTTAACACTATATAAATTTCACTTAAGTATGTGGTGGGAAATTCAGACCCCCTTTTTTTTTTTTTTCACAATTCCAGTTACTAGGTGTGGCTTTGAGAAAACATTAATTAGTCTGATTAGAGTGGAAACCATTGATGTGATTCCAGCATTTGACAAAGTTGTTGCATGCATTTAGAAAGCTTTTTTTTGCTAAAATCTCTATGTAGAATATAGAGACAACTACTGATGTGCTCAGCTGAGGGAAAAGAGTCACTGCTTTCAAATTAAGTCTGCCTTGTTGTGACCCTTCATTATGTTTTTAAATCTATAAACCTTTATGGGGGGAGACTGCCTAACTTTCTTCTGCAGAACATCTGGTGGATCTGAACCACTGACCTTTTGGTTAGTAGCCAACTATAATGCATTACACCACCAAGGTGTCTTAATTGTTGCACATCCAAAATCTAAAAATCTTAAGAAGTCCCTCATCGGCTTCAATGCAGTAAACATGATTTAGCCAGTTTTTCTCAGTCTTACCCCCACCCTGATGTCAGCCTCATTCTACAACAGTGGCACCATATAGTATTTGTGCTTTTGTGACTGAGATATTTCATTCAGCATAATATCCTCCAGGGTCACCCATTTTGAATAATATTGCATGTAATATATTTTAGGGAATTATGATTATCATAAGAGTCCGGAATGAGGGTTGCAGAGTGGAGTATACTCAGGGTGAGGTTGGGGGTGGGGGTGTGTGGGTTATTATATACCAATGAAGTTTTTCTTTAGCTTTTCAAGGGGAAGAGTGAACTAGGGGTGGGGGTAGGGTGGGCGGGGAGAAAAGTGCAACAATGAATGAATGGAAATCCAAAATCTCTGTAGGTGTTCATTGAAATTAATTTAAAAAAATCTTAAAAGTCAATGAAGAAATGATATAAAAATTATCAAATTCACTTTTCTAGTTGCCACATTGATTCTTAAAAAGGAGATCACTAGATGACCTATACAGCTCTTTCCAGGTTTTAGTGCCAGAAGAAACCTAACCAAATGGATGGGTAATAAACCTGTGATACATAAGGAGTCTTTGAGAACATCAAAGGAACCAGAGGGAAATTTTTAGAAGCCTTATTAATGACTATTTTGTTCTTTTTTTTTTTTTTTAGAATCAGTATTTTTTAAAATAAAGCTATAGGAGATTTGGTGATTGTAGTAGAGGAGCAAACACGGAAGCTCACCCTATGAGTAATTCGTATTTTTGCCCCCCATTTTTTTAGGTTTACTATCAGAGGAGGTGGAGAATGTGCCTACCTGAATGACAATGGGATCAGTAGTGCCAGGAACTACACAGATAGAAAATGGATCTGTAACAAAGTCATTGTGGTTCACTCATAGCTGTCCCTCCAGAAGATTTTCAGCGGCAGTAAATTGCCCTACCATTGAACTATGGCTGGGAATGTCCATCTCTCTCTTCCAAGGAAAAGTTAATAGATTCTAAGAATCTCAGACTACTCCATAGTTGTATCATTTTCCAATCCCAGCAGGGTATGAGGTTTCCAGTCTCTCCACATACTCACCAGCATTCGTTGTTCTCTGTTGTGTGTTTTATAAACTCATATTTAATTTACCATTTTGTGATCCATTTTCTTAAAAGCATTCAACTCTTATGTACCTAAGACTAAAACCAAGAACTATAAACTTCATAAAAGAAAAGCTTAGAAGAACTCTGGAAGTCCTAATCCACAACATAAACAGTCTTCTAAGCATCCTGGAAAAAATCTTCAACCAGAAGAGGATAAAATAGATGAATGAGACCTTCTAAGACTTAAATCCCTATGCACATCCAAAAACTTCTCCAACAAAGTACAAAGGGAAGCCACAGATTGGAAAAAAATGTTTGGTAATGACATGTCTGACAAGGGACTTATATCTAGAATTTATAAAATACTTGAATACCGCAAAAGATAAAGGTAAATAACTCAATTTAAAAAAGGGCACAGGATATGAACAGACACTTCATCAAAGAATACATTCAGGTGTCTAACAAACACATGAAGAAATGTTCAAAATCCCTAGCTCTAAGAGAGATGCAAATCAAAACAACTGTGAGATCTTATCTCACTCCAGTAAGAATGGCAAAATTTGGCAGAACAGCAGGCATCAAATTCAGGTGAGGTTGTAGAGAAACTGGAGCCCTTGTTCACTGCTGGTGGGAGGGTAAAATGGTGAAACCACTGTGGAAGGTGGTATGGTGCTTTCTCAAAAAGTTGCAAATAGAAATACCATTTGACCCAGCAATTCCACTGCTGGGAATTTACCCTAAAGAAACCATAACTGCCACCCAAGCAGATATATGCACATCCATGTTTATTGAATTTTTTTTCACAATAGCACAGAGCTGGAAACAACCCAAGTGCCCATCAACAAAGGAATGGATAGAGAAGCTCTCGTATATTCACACAATGGAATACTATGCAGCATTGAAAAACAAAGAAATCATGAAATATTATGCAAAATGAATGACCCTGGAGAACATCATGCTGAGTGAAATATCTCAGTCACAAAAAGGACAAATATTGCATAGGGCCACTGTTGTAAAACGGGACTGACATCAGGGTAGAGGGAAGACAGGAAAGGAGGGAAGGAATGATGTATATTGCATTGAAATAGGTGGGGAGATCTGTTTCAAAGGGATATATGAATGGGTATTCTTGTCATTACAGAAATTCAGAGTGAAGGCTGCATAATGGAGTGAACTTGGGGGGAGGCATTGCATAACAATGAAAGAGTTTTTCTTTTTCATTTCAAGAAGAGCGAATTGGGGAGAGGGGGTGGGCAGGGAGAAAAGTGCAACAATGAATAACTGGAAATCCTAAGTCTCTGTGAACTTTCATTAAAATTAATAAATAAATTTTTTAAAAAAGCATTCAACTCTTGTGTACCATGGGATAGATAGTAAACTTCTAGGCTCTCTGACTGTGAGCCAAGGGTACTAAAACACAAAAAATATAAGCTTTCCCAGAAAGACTTTGTTGTTGTTATGTGCCTTCGAGTCCATTGTGACTCATAGCGACCCTATGTACAACAGCCCTAAACTTGCTCTGTCCTGTGCCATTCGCACTGTCTCCAACACACCCATCCCAATAATTGCAGTCACTGAATCAATCCACTTCATACAAGGTCTTCCTCTTCTGTGCTGTCCCTCCACCCTCCCAAGCATGATATCCCTCTTCAAGGACTGTAAGGCCCCTCCTTACAACATGTTCAAAGTGTGTTAGACAAAGCCTCAGAATCCTTTCCTCCAAGGAGCTGCCCAGTTTAACCCTCTCCAGGATGAATCTGTTTTCTTGGCAGTCCATGGTACCCTCAACACTCTTCTCCAGCACCACAGCTCAAAGGCATCCATTCTCCTTCTATCCTCCCTAGTCATTGTCCAACTCTCTGATGTATAACAAGTGATTGCAAAGACCATGGCCTGTATCAAATGCACCTTAGTCTCTAGAGACACCATTTCTCTTCAGTATTCTGGAGAGGTCCCTAACAGCAGACTTTCCCATCACAATACGTCTTTTAATTTCCTGGCTACTGGTGCCAAGAGTGTTGACTGTGGAGCCAAGTAGACTAAAGCTGTGAACAATCTCAATCTCTTCACCGTCCATCCTGATGCTGCCAGGTGGTCCAGTGGTGAGATTCTTTAAAGCAATAAAATATGAATTTCCCCAAAATAATCTGGAAACTTGAAATAAGAATATTTGCTTTTGTGAAAAACAATGTATTCAAATTTTTAAATAAATCAGAGTAAAATTTAAAAAAAATGAAAAAGAATATTTACTTATAGCACAGTGAGGGTATGTTATATTTAAACACATGTAAAATAAGCTTTCATTATGGCACTACTCTGATTATCAGATAAATAAGACATAATTTCATTGCTCAGTGGGAGTTGTTGCTGTTGTTATGTGTTATCAAGTTGTTTGCAACTCATAGTGACTCGATGCATAATAGTTCTGAATCTTGCTCTATCCTAAGCCAATCACATTGTCTCTGACACACCTACCCTCACTATCCCAGTTATTGCATCAATACATCTTACCCAGAGTCTTTCTTGTGTCATACCCCATCCCCTCCAGTCATGATATCCCTCTCCAAAGACTGGCCCCTTCTGGCTACATAGCCAGAGTGCGTGAGGGGGAGTCTCAAAAAAATACTTGCCTCCAAGATGCAACTTGGTTTCACCCTCTCTAGGGTGAACCTGTTAGTGCTCTTAGCAGGCTATGGTATGTTCAAATTTCTTCTCCAGCACAACAATTCAAAGGCATCAATTATTCTGTCATCCTTGTTCCTTGTCCAGCTCTCTGATACATAGTAAGTTGTTTGAGAAAACCATAGCCTGGGTCAGGTGCATCTTAGTCTCTTAGACTGACATCCTTGCTCTTCAGCACTCTGGAAATGTTCTTGACAACAGATTTTCCTAATGCAATTCATCTTTAGGTTTTCTGATTGCTGGTGCCAAGACTTGATTATGGAATCAAGCAAGCTGAAATTATTAACAATCTCAGTCTCTTCTCCATCTATCATGAAGCTGCCGATTGGCCCAGTGGTGAAAATCTTTGTTTTCTTGTTGAGCTTCAATCCATGTGGCAAACTACAGTCTTTACCCCTCTGCATCAGATGCTTCAGGCCCTCCTCAGTTTCAACAAGTAATTCATAAGTGTTTAATTCAACTGCATAATTCAAGTGTTTGATGAATTTTCCTCCAATCTTGATGCCACATTCTTCCTCATAAAGTCCAGCCTCCTGAATGATCTGTTCTGCATACAGATTGAAAAAGTACAGAGACAGGACACATACATAATACACTCCTTTTCTGCTTTTAAACCAAGCAGTGTTTCCTTGCTCTGTTCTGACAACTGCCTCCAGGTCCAAGTATAGTTTTCACATGAGCAATCAGGTTTTCTGGGATTGCCATTTGTCTCAAGGTTAGCTACAGTTTGTTGTGATCCACACAATCAAAAACCTTTGCAATGTCAATGAAACATAGATTGGCATTCCTCTGGTACTCTGTTTTCAGCGAAGATCCATCGGACATTGGCAATGATGTCCCTAGTACCACAGCCTCTTCTAAACCTAGCTTGTATTTCTGGTAGAGGTAAAATATATATACAGTGACTGTAGCTTCATAAATGGAGTTTGTGCTGTTGTTATGTGTCATTGAGTTGCCTGCAACTCATAGCAACCCTATATATGACAGTTCTGAACCCTGCCATGCCCTGAGCCAGTCTCACTGACTCTGACACACCTACCCCTATCACCTCAGTTACTGTATCAATTCATTTTATGTTAAGTTTCCTTTCTGTGCTGTCCCTCCACCCTTCTCTAAGAACTGGTCTGTCTTGGCCAAGTGCCTAAAATAAATGAGAAGGGGCACCAAAATTCTACCCTCAAAGGAGAAATTTGGTTTCAAATTCTCCAATACAGACCTATTTGCTTTCTTGGTGGTCCATGGTATATTCAAGACTCTTCTCCTGCACCACAAAGCAAAAGCATCAATTCTTTTCTGTCATCGTTAGTCATTTTCCAGTTCTCTGATAAATAGCAAATAATTGCAAAAACCATTGCCTGTATCAGGCACGCCTTGATCTCTAAACAGACATTGTTACTTCTCAGTGCTCTGAAGAGGTTCCTAACAGCAGATTTTCCAAGTGAAATTCATCTTTTCATTTCCTGACTGGTGGTGCCAAGAGTGTTGATTGTGGAGCCAAGGAAGCTGAAGTTGTTAAGAGCCTTAATCTCTTCCCCGTCCGTCATGGTGCTGCCAATTGGACTAGTGGTGAAAATCTTTGTCTTCTTGATGTTGAGCTTCAATACAAATCAGTTCTTAACTTTTTGCAGCACTGCTCTAGGTCTTTCTTAGTTTCAGCAAACAAGGTTATGTCATCTACATAATGTAGGTTGTTGAGCCTTCTTCTAATCCTGATGCTACATTCCTCCTCATAAAGCCCAGCCTCCTGAACGGTTTGTTCTTCATATAGATTGAAAAATATTGATACAGGACAAATCCCTGACACACTTCTTTCCTGATTGTGAACTTTACAGTGTTTCATTGCTCTGTTCTGAGGACTGCTTCTTGGTCTAAGTATAGGTTTTGCATAATTGCAGTCAAGTTCTGGGATTTCCTTTCTTCTCAAGGTTAGCCAAAATTTGTTGTGATCCACATAACCTTTGCATAGTCAGTGAAACACAGGTAGACATTCCTCTGGTGCTCTTTGCTTTCTGCCAAGATCCAACTAACTTTGGCACTATTGTCTCAATACCTCTTCTAAACCCAGATTTTATTTCTGATGATTCTCTACTACCAGAAGATATGGTTCCAGTCATTCTTGGATAATCTTCAG